TTAGGGTTCCAGTTAAGTTTTTCCAAATTTATCATAAGGAACAGAGTAGCAAGATGAGCTCCACATATAATGCTGGTCACAGATATTAGAATAACATTATATCAAATTTCATTCCACTTACCTACCTAGGGCCTGGTTTAAAGCCCTATATGCCTGAATTTCATACCACTGACGACCAGGTAAGAGACCTCTTGGTTTTGAATGCTGGTCATTGTATCGACGCTTTAGTTCAACCTTTTAATTTAAAAATATATAAAAAAAATATGGTACATAATTAGTCTTAAAAATGATATTAACTTCTAATACTTTGAATATCATATTAGTAGGGTAGATAGAGATAGCTGCCATTGAATTGACTTGGATACATGGTGACTTTATGTACAACAGAACAAAATGGTGCCTAGTCCTATGTCATCTTCACAATCGTTGGCATGTTACAGTCCCTTATTGCAGCTATTGTGCTGATCCAACTCTCCAAGGGATTCTTTCTACTTCATTAAACATCCTCCAGCAATTGATCCTTCCTGATAATGTCCTGATAATGTGCCCAAACAAATGAATAAGAAAATGTTCTGTTGTGATCTACAAGGTTTTTACTGGCTAATTTTCAGAAGCAGATAGCCAGGTTTTTCTTCCTAGTCTGTCTTAGTCTGGAAGCTCTGCTATCAACTGTCCATTATGAGTGAACCTGATGGTATTTGAAATATCAGTGGCATAGCTCTCAGCACCACAAAGTCATCACAGTATGACAAACTGACAGAGACAGGTGGTGGTTTATTAGGGTAGAGAGACTTTGTTTTCAGTACTAAAATTTTTTCAATTCATTTACAACATTTTTTTTTCATTCTTACTAAATTCTTTAAATTCCCCCATGCATATAAGTAATTAGTTGTATGATTACTTCAATAAGTTTTACTGATATATAATTTACAGATAATCAAATTCCCAAGTTTTCAGCATGCAAGTAGATGGGTTTTGACAAATATACAGTTATGTAAACAACACCAAAGTCACAATATATTTTCAGCACCCCAGAAAGTCCCCTCTTGACCATGGTCGCAGGGGACACCAAGCTCAACTGGAATAACATACTACACAAAAACATTGTTCCACACACTACTGTGGCAAGTAGAAACTGGGATCTTAAAAGCTTGCAAGCAGCCATCTAGATGCAACAATGGGTCTCTCCTTGCCCAGAGCAAAGAAGAATGAAGATAACCAAAGACACATGGAAACAGCCCAAGGGACTGGTATACCATGTGATTCTCAGCCTGTATGACTGAGATCGGATGAACTAGATGTTGCCCAGTTACCATTGTCAACCACTTGGAGGGGCATATATGTAGGAGATCCTTGAGAGAATGGGAGAACAGTGTGGAACAAAACTCAAAATTATTAAAAAAAAAAAAGTGGGGGGGGACCAGGTTTGGCGGTCTGATAGAACCTGGTGAAACCCCTGAGTCTATGGCCCCTAGCTGCAGCCAAACAAAAGATAGGCATATGAGCTAAACATTTGCATTAGGTAGATATACTCCTTGGAGAGATCAATCATGGAAGAATAGAAGGGCTGTGCATACACAGGGAGACAGCTCAGGGGGCAGGAATGAATGGGAGGGAAGGACACAGCAAAGAGGTAACTATGGGGAGGACATGGGAAGAGAGCTGTTGCATTGTATGAAATTGCAGTCAATCTCATGGGACAAAGTGTATGTGAACTGCTGTATGGAAAATGAATTTGCTCTGTAAACTTTCACACAGATCACAATAAAAATTAAAAAAAAAAAAGTTCCCTCTTGTCCCTTTGTAGTCAATCCCTACTGCTAGCCTGGGCCACTAATAATCTGTTTTCAGTCACTGTAGTTGTGCCTTTTCTAGAATTTCATGTAAATGTTACTATATAGTATGTAGTATCTTGTAACTGCCTTCTTTCATTTACTGTAACAACCTGAAATTTATCCATGTTGTAACCTGTATCAGTAGTTCATTCTCTTATGTTTATCCAGTATGATAATCTGTTTCTTGATAAGTTTAGGCCATTTACATCTAATGTAATTATTGCTATGATTGCATTTAAATCCTTACTATCTTTTCTATTTGTTCTATCTGCTTGCTTGCTTGCCTTTTTTATTAAATCAAGCATTTTTCTTAAATATTTACATTATATTTCCCTTATTGGCTTATTAGTCAGTATGTCTGTTTTATCTTTTCAGTGATTACTTTTACAATGAACATCTTTAACTTATTCGTCTTTTTTTTTAGTAATATCACACTACTACATATAAGGGAGCTTTCATGGCATAAAGCCTAAGGCATTTGACTGCTAACCAGAAGGCTGGTGGTTCAAATCTACCAGCCACTCCTTGGAAGGAAGACTGGGCAATCTACTTCTGTAGAGATACTGCCTCAGAAACCTAAGGAGGGGTCACTATGAGTCAGATTCAACTGGACATCAGTGAATTTGGGTTTTTTTTTTAAATTGCATATAAAATGTAAGCACTACATAACAACAGACTTCCATTTCCCTCTCCTGTTCTTTCTTGTCATGTTTTAGTTCTATATAGATATAAACTTCTGCTGTTGTTGTTGTTATGTGCCCTGGAGTCCGACCTCACTCACAGTGACCCCTCCTTGGGTTTCCGAGGAGTGGATGGTGGATTTCAACCACCAGCTGCTGGTTAGCAGTCAAGCGCCTTAGGCACTATGCTACCAGAGCTCCATATAAACTCTACAATACACTATTATTATTTATACTTTAAACAATTAGGAGCTCTGGTGATGTAGTGGTTAAGGCTCCACTGAAGAAAGATGAAGTGGTCTGCTTCTGTAAAGATTTATAGTCTTGGAAACCCAATGGGAGTAGCAATGAGTCAGAACTGACACAGTAGCAGTGATTTTTTTTGGGGGGTGGGGGTTTTAAATAATTATATTTCATCTTTCAGTTTTTACTTTTGTAACAATTTTATATTTACAAAAAAGTTACAAAGATAGTACAGAGAGATCTCATATACTCTTTATTCAATTTTCCCTAATAAGTGGAAAGACACAGATTGAATACCTTAAGCTCTTGATTTTCTGACAAAATGTTTACATTTTCAATAAATGTGATCTGAAAATACATTCTGTGTTCATGGATTGGAAGCCTTAATACTCTTAGGATGGCAATACTGCCTAAAGTGATATACAGACTCAATGCAATCTCTATCAAATTCTCAATGGTGTTTTTCACAGAAATAGAAAAACCTATAATTCCTATGCAATTTTAAGAGACTTTAACTAGCCAACAATACTGAAAATGAACCAACTTATTACAGTGCTACAAAAGTAAAAACAGTGGGATATCTGCATAAGGACAGACATATACACCAAGAAAATAGACTAGAAAGTCCAGAAATAAACCCTTACATATATATGGTCAATTGATTTTTGACAAGGGTGCCAAGATTATTCAACGGAGTACCAAGACTATTCATTTCAATAAATGGTGCTAGGAAAACTGGATATACATACAAAAGAATAAAGTTAGATCAATACCTCAGACCATATCCAAAAATCAACCTAAAATCCATAAAAGACCTAAGTCTAAGAGATAAAACTATAACACTCTTAGGAGAAAACATATGGGAAAAGCTTCATGACCTCTGATATGGCAACAGATTCTTAGATATGACACTAGAAGAACAAGCAATAATAGAAAAAATAGAAAATTTGACTTCATCAAAATTATAAATTTTTGTGTAGCAAATAACACTATCAAGAGAACGAAAAGGTAATTCACAAAATTGGGGAAAAAACTGAAAATCATGTATCTGATAAGAAGTTAATATTCAGAATATTGCATCAGGCAAATCTACTGCCAAAGGTCTCTTTAAATTTTAAAAAGCAAAGACATCGCTCTAATGACTAAGAAGCATCTGACACTAGCCACAATTTTTTCAGTCACCTCACATGCATGTGAAAGTTGAAAGTTGGAAAAGGGAGAGGGCATATTGAGGCTTTATTATTTAATGGGTACAGAGTTTGTTTGGGATGATAAAAATATCTGGAAACAGACAGTAGTGATGGCTATACGTTGTATATGTATTTAACACTACTGAATTATACATACACACAAAAATGGTTAAATGATAAATTTTATGTTGTGTATATTTTATTATAATAAAAGTCATAATATATATATATATATGTGTGTGTGTGTGTGTATTTATATATTAAATAGACCAAGAAGGTGTCATTCAAACAGAATAGAGGGATACTTCATGGTTTAAAATCAGAAAGTGAGTACATCACGGTTTTATCCTTTCACTATACTTATTCAATCTGTATGCTGTACAAAAATCCAAGAAGCAGACTATATGAAGAAGAACATGGCAAGATTGGAGGAAGACTCACTAACAACTGGCAATATGCAGATGACACAATTTTGCTTGCTGAAAGTGAAGATGACTTGAAGCACTTACTGATGAAGATTAACGACTACAGTCTACAGTACAGATTGCATCTCAACATAAAGGAAACAAAAATCCTCACAACTGGACCAATAAGCAGCATCACAATAAATGGAGAAAAGACTGAAGTTGTTAAAAATTTTGTATCACTTGGTTCCACAATCAACACCAACAGAAGCAGCAGCCAAGACATCAGAGGATGTACTACACTGAGCAAATCTGCTGCAAAAGACCTCTTTCAAGTGCTGAAGAGCAGATGTTTCCTTGAAGACTAACCCAAACCATGGTATTTTCAATTGCCTCATATGCATGTGAGAGCTGGACAATGAATAAGGAAGACTGAAGAAGAGTCAATGCTTTTGAGTTGTGGTGTAGCAAAGAATACTGAGAGTACCATGGACTGCTAAAAGAACTAACAAATCTGTCCTGAAAGAAGTGCAGTTGGAATGCTCCTTGGAAGCGAGAATGGCCAGACTTCATCTCACCTACTTTGGTCATTTTGTCAGAAGGGACCATCCCCTGGAGAAGGATATCATGCTCAGTAAAGTGGAGGGTAAACGAAAAAGAGGAAGGCCCTCAACAAGATGGACTGACATAGTGGCTGAAACGATGGGCTCTGGTATAGCAAGGATTGTGAGGTTGGCACAGGACCATGCAGTGTTTCATTCTGTTGTACATAGGGTTGCCATGAGTCGGAGTCAACTCGACAGCACCCAAAAACAACAACAAAATATCTTTTAAAGAATTCAAGAGAAAGAAAAAAACAAGTAAGATAATATTCTACCTAAA